GCCCAGGTGCTCTCCTTTCAATCTAGCTCCCTGCTAGTGAACCTGGGACAGCAGCAGATAAAGCGCCAAGTATTTGGATCCCTGATATCTAAATGGGAGATCTAGGTAGGATTCATGGCTCTGGCTTCTACCTGGTCTCAAACCTGGCTGTTGGAAAGTGTATCAGATGAAACTCTTTCTCTCTTCCCATCTCTCATTTTTTGAATGAATAAATCTTTTAAAGAATGGTGGAAATGTAATCCAAATATAAAAATAGGCAAACCACATGAATAGATAACTTACTACTGAGATAAAGATTTTAGATAACCATAAAAAAATTCAACAATGTTGATAATAAAAGAAAATAAAGATAGCAATGATAACGGGGTTTCTACCACACAATCAGATCTGTTGGCACAGCATCTTGCTGAGCATGTGCGAAACACACACAGCACACCCTGGGAGAGCAAGTAAATAAAAGCAAACCCATGAGAAGCACGATGGGCAAATGCATCAAGAACATCAAAATGCCCGCGTTCTTTCCAGGAATTTATCCTAAGGCAATACCAGAAAATTCAGACCCAGTTTAGGAACAAAAATGATTGCGGACTTGATTATGAAACTGAAGGAGCAACATCTCCTCAGGCAGATGACTATAGACACCTGCTCTTAGCCAGCCCAGGGCTTACTCAGGTACTGACCCATCATCAGTAGTAACTTCAGAAACTTGGCTGGAAAACTCGAGGTTGGTAAGGCAGGATTCACCAAGAGGCCAATGTGTAAGTGACATCTGTTCTCATTCCTGACAAGCTCTCCAGGGCTCCAGGTGGAGCTGTCAGATCAAGCAGATGGGAGGATTTGGCGATTTGGGACTGGTGTAGGAAAGTAGGGAAAGGAGTTACTGCGCATACCTCAGCACTGTGCTCACCACATTTATTTTTTCCCTTGGTAATTAAGAAACGATACTCTCTACTTTCACGTTAAAAACACCCAGCAAACCAGCATAGGAAAGGACCTTCTCTTAGCTGATAGCCCCGTGTGCAACTCAGGGTTAATATCGTCCTCCATGACTAATCAACCCAAGCCTTCCCCTTGATAGTAAGAACCAGACAAGAATGTCTGCTCTCATCACTTCCAGACAATGTTTTGTTGAGAGTGCTAGTCAGGGCAATGATGCAGTTAGGAATGTCCTGGGAAAAGAAGAGCTAAAAGCACTGCTGTGCGAAGGTGAGATGATCTTATTTGGATGAAATACATAGCAATTCTCCGGTCTTAGTCACCCAGCTCTCCATAACTGAGTCCTGTAGACCAGGTGGCTTTAGAAGACAGAAAGTTGTTTCTCACAGCTCCGGAGGATGGTGATTAGAGATCAGGGTGCCAGTGAGTTTGCTTCTTCTTTGCACTGTAGCCTCCCTCATACAGCAGAAAGGAGCCTAGTGAGATAGCTCTCTGGGGTTGCCTTTAGAAACATACTAATCCTATTTGCAAGGGCTCCAACCTCAAGGCTAAATCACTTCACCAAAGCACCACCTATCCCAGTGCACGCTATAATCTCAACATAGGAGGGCAGGCATTACGGCACACACAGCTACTGGATGGAATGCCCACATCTCACGGGCGAGTGTCCAGGTTCAAGCCCCAGCTATGCTCTCTGTTCTGGCTTCCTGCTAATATGCAACTTGGGAGGCAGCAGGTTATGGAACAGATGTGTGGATCTCTGCCACCCACAGGGGAGACCCAGGTAAAGTTCTTGACTGCTGGCTTTGGTCTGGCTCAGCCTTTGGCTATTGTAACTCTTTGGGGAGTGGACCAGCGGATGGACAATCCTTCTTCTCTATCATCCTATCACTAATTAAATACGCCTTTTACAAAGATGTTAACAAATAAATTATAGGCGGAACCTATAAATTAAGCCCATAATACCACTTTAAAAACCTGTGGAACAGGTTGAGCTTATTCTAAAACTCCTATGAAAAGGCAGGGTCCAGAAGAGTCATCACAATCTTGAAAAAGAAGAACAAAGTTAGAAGGCTCATAGTTCCTGATGTCAAAAATTACTATAAAGCTACAGGAATCAAGACGATGGACTCTGGTTTATGATTGACAAGGCAATCAATGGAGGAGAACCGAGTCCACAGATCAATTCAGACAACAGTGGTCAATGATAACGGAGTTGACTCTTTGTGGGGAAAAGAGTTGTCTTTTCAATAAATGGGGCTGGGATCATTGGGTACCTACAGGCAAAAAAAAAAAAAAAAAAACCCAAAAAAAAACCTCTTTGACCCTTACCACATACTGTATGCAAAAATAAATTCAAAATATCCCAACAACCTATATGTAAGAGTTAGAAGTATGAAACTTCCAGAAGAAAAAAAAATTGGTGTAAATCTTTATATTTTTGGATTTTTAAAATAGTTTCTTAGTTATGAGACCAAATTTACCAACAAAAAGGAGATAAATTGCATATCTTCAAAAATGTACTTCAAAAGCTTCTATCAAGAATGGAAAAATGGGCCAGGGCAATGGCTCAATGAGCTAATCCTCCTCCTTCAAGCACTGGGATCCCATCTGCCCACTGGTTTGTGTCCTGGCTGCTTCACTTCCAATCCAGCTCCCTGCCTGTGGCCTGGATAAAGCAGTAGAGGATACCCCAAGGCCTTGGGACCCTGCACCCATATGGGAGATCTGGAAGAAACTCCTGGCTCCTGGCTTCAGATTGGCTCAGTTCCTGCTGTTGTAGCCACTGGGAGTGGAGTGAAGCAGTGGATAGAAGATCTTTCTCTCTGTATCTCCTTCTCACTGTATATCTGCCTTTCTAATAAAAAATAATAATAAAATAAAATAAATCTAACCTACAGAATGGATCCTCAGCTGCCTGTGGTTGGGGCACATAAAGGCATGGAGGGTATGGATATGGAACCCAGTGCTTTTTTAAAAGTGTGAAGATGATCTGATTTGACTGTGGTGTTAGCTGCACAACACTGTGAATATGCCTAAAATAATTGGATTGTATACTTTCAATGATGAAATTTTAAGTATGTGAGTTATATTTCAATAAAGCTTTTATTTAAAAAAAAAGAAACAAACCAATTAACTACAGATCATATGTAATTGAGAGCACATTTGTGCTGCCTTGGGTCCTGGGAAGAATGCCTAGATACAGGATAAGGAGCTATTGTGGAGAGAAGTATGGGGTTTCCTAGAGTGTGAGATATGAAATCTTCCCGTCTGATAAGCTCTTTGGGCCTCTGTTAATGGACTTGAGTTTGTACTTGTGTACTTCTTTTGTATGGCTGTGATGACTCCATGTAGACCTGCTTTGTGCTACAGGTGACCACTGGGCAGCTACACTATGGGTATCCTCGAGGAATTGGGCTGTCAATACAAAATATACATTGCATTTTGAAAATTCAGAATGAAAAATATACACACTATCTCAATAACAATTTCATATAAATTTTTGTATTAATACACTATTGAAACAATATTTTAGACATATTTGGTTAGGTAAAATATTAAAGCTTTTTTTTTAAAGAAGTGATACATGGTAGACTAAGCATCTACTTGTGATGCTGGTATCCTGTATGGATGCAGTTCATGTCCCAGCTGCTCCGTTTCCCATCCAGCTCCATGCTTATCGCCTGGAAGGGCAGCAGAGAATGAATCAGGCTCTTAGTCCCTGCACACATGTGGGAGGCCTGGGAGAAGCTCCTGACTCCTGGCTTCAGATTGGCTCAGCTTCGATTAATGCAACCATTTGGGGAGTGAACCAAGAGATGAAAGATCTCTCTGTCTCGCCTTCTCTCTATAACTTTGCCTTTCAAATAAAAATGAAACAAATATATTCTTTAAAGGAGAAAAAGCAGCCACTGCCACAGTATCTGAAAACTGAAGTTTTTTCTTAGGGCATATGGATGTAGCCTGCACGGGTGCTGCGGTTTTCCGTTATGTGCTGTGTTTAACAGGATCTCTGAGAGGGTTGGATCCTGTGTAGAGAAGTGGTTGACTTCGATTCAGAGGCTGAACATCTAAGAATGGGCAGCCCCATCAGTGAAGCCTCTGATGCAGGCCTTTTGGTTCTCACAAGATGGTGCAAAAATAGAGAAGGAAAAAGCTGCACACAGAGGGAGCCCACTGTATGAGGTGGCCTTGCTTCAACATCAACTCCCTCTTATGAGAGCCAACCTCCTGAGGGTTGTACCCCAGTGCCCTAATCACCTTCTGCTAGGCCTCACCTTTCTGAAGGTGCCTTCACCTCAACACTGTCACACTGGGGATGAAGCTTCTAGGATGCTACCCTTAGGAGACAGATCACAGATCACATTCAAGCCATAGCAGGCATACACGATGACAAGTGTGTGCTTTGTTTGGTGGCTTTTCACTGGGTGAGGGGGAGAAAGAAAACAGCAGGTGGGCAACTGTGAGCGGTGGAGTGAGCTTGAGGGAAGCCAGCAGGATTCAGAGCTTGAGCCACCTCGCTTACTGCTCCCCTCCCTGGGCCTCACGCTCGGGACCTGAGATCATCCAGCTTGATGTTCAGACCCAGATCTCCCTCCTATCCAGAGGTGAGTTTGAGGGCAGACATGGCAGGTGGTATTTCCCTTACAGTTTCAGGAAATGATTGAAAGATGTAGTTCCCCCTTTTAACAAACTCTGAGGTTGAGGAGACAGAGGGAATACCATGTTTGAAAGAATCCCAGGGTTCTTAAGGTAGTAAAGTTGGGCTCTTCTGCTGTGTGGCAGAGATGCTGATTATAGGAGGAAATAATGGAAGGAGAGAGTTGAGTCTGGACGTTGGGTTTTCGATCGGATGCCATGGGAATGCTGGGGATGGTTGAGAGGCAGAGTGTTGGCATTTCTTAGCTTTATTTGCCAATTATATGCTGTTCATTTAGAATTTTAAGATTTATGTTTATTTGAAAGGCAGGCAGATACACAGATAGATGAGATAAAGACCTACCCACTTACTGACTCACTCTCCAAAATCTGCAATAATCATGGCTGGGCCTGGCTAAAACCGGAAGCCTCCATGTCTCCCATGTGGATGGCAGAGACCCAAGTACTTGAACCAGTACTTGCTGCCTCCCAGGATATCAACGAACAGGAAACTAGAACCAGAAGCAGAAGCTGGATTCCAGACACTCTGATATAGGGTCTGGGTATCTCAAGGGATGTCTTCACCGCTATGCCAAATGTCCAGCCCACCCGTGTGCTACCTGCTCTTTTGTTTATTATTCTTTATTGTTATTGTTCTATAGATTAATGCAGAATCATCAGAACAACTTCCTTGAACCTGCAGCAACCACCAATCCAGAAGTAACTTAGACCTTAGCTAGCAAAGAAACATTCTGTAGTGTTTTCCACACTGTTTTCAAAAATCATGATTTTGAAGAAAGTTTCAAAATATCAGTGGGAAAGAAATTCAAATTTTTCTTCTGCAAAGCAATATGTCAAAAAAGGCATGGCTGACATTCACTCTCCAGCACACGTGATGCCTGCCTTCCCTGTGAAGGTATTTAGCAAAACTTGGGTCTTGACCCCTCCCTCTGTCTGCTGTCAGTCATTGGTCACTTGTAATAGTAGACCAACCAAAAGGTGAGGGAGAGAACAAAGCAGCCAAACATACCCAAACCCACACTCCTGGTCTTGCCAGTACAACTATGAGTAGTGTTCTGAATTTAGTCAGTGATGCTCTACAGATAATTAACACCACTTGCTTCATCCCGCAGGTGTAGACAGTGGTCCTGAAGTACAGCATGAAAACACACTTGCACTTCAGTGCACACCTATCAGGGAGCCCGCTGATCCTATTTTATGTATGACTAGGAAGAAAAACATTTAAACTCTGTAATGTCATTCCAGTAACATTCAGTAGATGGCAGAAAAGAGCCTTTTTTCCCCCCTCCAGTACTGACTAGGATTACCAATTTAAAAAATGTTCAAGGAAGTGCCTGAATTTTCTACAGACTAGCAAACAGAAGCCACGGCGGGTTGTCCTGGTAAGCAAAGTTTTATTTTACTCTGGAAAAGAAAATAATGGTCAGTTCTTCAGGAGCGGGATCCCAAGTCTCTGTGACTAAGTGTTTAGGCATGTTCCTAAGCAGGCGGTGTCTCTCATATGCAGTTACTTTTGAGCTAGCACTTGTCCATTCGATCCTAGTCCCAAGTCAGAGAAAGTTCATTTTTTTGAATGATATTCACTCATGAATTTGCTTTCAAGGGATGTTTTCAAGTTGAGAGATGAGTATTTGGGTCTCAGGTATATCCTGGTGTGTTTTGTTGTTTTATTTTTTATAGAACTGCTGGTTGTTCGTTTCAGAGACCATTGCACTTCACCCTGCCTCCCCATCCCATCCATGTTCCCATCACAATGAGAAGGTTAAGGAAGGCACAATGTGCTATCATTTGGATTTGAGTTTCCCCCAAGGGTTTGCATGTTCACATTTAATTCCCATTGTGGGCTACTGAGTAGGTGGAAACTTAATTCGATAATGGTGACCAGAGGAGGAGCCTTTAGGTGATGTGATTGCGATCAGATGGGGTCGTTGGTGTGGGACACTGTGACTGAACACAGTGGGCTTTGTAAGAAGAGAGACACACACACACATACCTTTTGTCACTTTGAACTCATCCAGCAAGGTCACAGCTAGACACAGCCTCTTGATGATCTTGGGCCAGAACGGTAAGCCAAAACAAACCCTATTTCTTTATCAAGTAGTTACTTCAAGTATCCTTATAGTAAGAAAATTGGTATAATGTAGGATGTTAGTCAATTTCTCCCTCAAATGGTACCATGTCTGTTTTATAGGCAAGTAGAGTGTTCCTGCTAATCTTGTCTGTGTTCTCAGACCACTGACAGTGTCCTGGGAGCTAGAAGTCAGGCGGAATTGTGGGTTTGAAAATGTTTCCTAGGCAACACCCCATTTGATCAAAAGATTTGAAAGTGAATGTTTCTTTACAACAAAAGGCTCAAGTTTACAAAACCACAAAGGGAACCATGCAAAAAAAAAAAAAAAAAAGCTCTTGAACTAGCTCCAATCCTTTCAACCTGTGGCTAATGGCTAATAGCTAGCTGTAGCTGGACTGGCACATGGAAAAATGAAGTATTTGCAGAACAGAACTTAATGTGTTAGATTGGCTGTGTAGTATTCCTTGGGACCCAAGTCCTGATTTGATATTCCTAAACTTTCAGAGACAATTGAAATATATTGATTCATTGTATCCAATAATGTAAATCTAAACTTACCATGATCATAAAAATTGACAAACACCCCCTGGGTATGATAGACTGTCAAATTAAAGCACCCTTTACTGATTAATTTAGCAAATAATGATCTGTTTGGCAATAAATTCGTTTTGAGGTTTCCAATACAGATGAGACTCGGTGATGGTGACTGAGATAAAAAAATCTTTTGTTTCAATGTGGCTTTGTGGCACAGAGGGTAAGCTGCCACTTGAGATACTGCTGTCCTTTATCAGAGCACCTGGTTCGAGTCCCAGCTACTTCACTTCTAAACCTGCTTCCTGCAGAGGCCAGCTCAAGCACCTGAGTCCTTGCCCCCCATGTGGGTGAGCTAGGTTGAGTTCAGGATCCCCAGCTTTGAAGACCAGCCCAACCTTTGCTCTTGCAGGCATTTGGTGAGTGAGCTAGTGGATGAAAGATCTTTCTTTTTGTCTTGACCTCCAAATACAATAAAAGTAAATCTAAAAGTTAAATTTTGAAAAACAACAGCAAAAATCTTGTTTGTCTTGAGGAATCTTGACCCTGGCTTCCATTGATCTAGCATGTTTGGTATATACAATTTAAAAACTATATAAATACCTTGAAATCACTGATGTTGCAATGCTTTGATTGCTTGATTACAGAAATAAAACAGCTTCATAAACTGAGTACTTTAGTGACTAAATGAAGTGGCAAAATGGCAGTTGGATATTTGAGTCAATTAATTTAGCTAGCAATAAAGATATGTAAGTCAATTCATTTAGCTCCATATAAAACCAAAGCTGTGCTTTCATTCAATGCATGGAAACAGGAAATGTTGTCAGTTTAAATCTTCCATGGTGGTTTCTGATTAACTGTTAAAGGAATAAGGAAATGTTCCTTTTGCTTGTGGTGGGTATTCTGAGTGCTGAGTAGTCACGACCTTGCACAGAGGGCCCTGTCCAGTCGTTGTTTCTTGGTCCATCTACACACCAGGCCTGAGAATACTGACCACTGTTGCCTTCAGCTGTGGAGTTGGCCAGAGGTGAGAAGTGCTCCTGACTCAGATTCAAGTGGACAAGTTAGTAAGGAGCTCTGTTTGAGCCTTAAGCCCGAACCACTTTTACTAGGACCCAGCTTGTGAGAGTTCTGGTTTGAGACATTTGGCAACTGGCCCAGGCAGTAACCAGACATTATTTTCACTCAACTGTTTTAATCAGTTAGGGGTGCATGACACAGCATCACAGGCAGACAGACATCGTCTTTCCACAGTTCCAGAGGCCAAAAGGCTGAGCTCGGCAGGGATGGAGAGTAAAGGGAGGAAGGGAGGTTGAGAAGGGCAGGGAGGGACTGGCACAGTTGGGTTTTTGTGTTTAGATTGGCGCCTTCTCATTGGATCCTCACATGACAGAAAGAAGGTTAGCGTGTGCACTGAGGTCCTTTTTATAACTCCATTCTTTTTTTTATTAATTTATTTTTTTTAAATTATTCATTACATTGTATTATGAGACACAGTTCCATAGGTACTGGACTCCTCCACCTTGTTGTGAGACCACAGTTCAAGTTCAGTTGAGACACCTTCATTGTAAGCATATACCAAGCATAGAGTCCAGCATCTTATTATCCAGATAGGTTCATCTGCTTCTTGGGGAGACCTTCTCTGGTCTGAAGGTAGGGCCAAGAGAGCAAGATCCCGATCAATTAAAACCCCAGCAGTAACAATATATATCGTTATGGAATTAATTGACATAGTGTTGAGTAAACAATATGTTAAAATTACATGTAAGTTCTTAACAACCTCCTGCGACTATTTCAATGACATTTTAACAATTGAGGGGTATGCAGAGAAATCTTTCATACCTTGGTGAGGAGTACTTGTTCTTTGTGTTCTACCTAGTAGGGTATGTGTGAGTCCATGCTGACCAATCTTTCTTTGTTGTTCTCTGCTTATCTATTCTGATTTGTGTGTGTATGTGTATGTGAGTGTGTGTGTGTGAGTGTGAGTGTGTGTGTGTGTTATAACTCCATTCTTAAGGGTTCTAAACTTATGCTTTTCTCACCAAACTGAGGCCCCACTTCCTAAGACTATCACATTGGGAATTAGGGTTTCAATATCTGACATTTTTCAGAAGTCAGTTAATTTACTTATTTGAAAGAGGGGAGAGAGAGAGAGAGATCGATCAACCACTGATTTGCTCTTCAAATCCCCATGATAGCCAGATCTGGGACAGACCAAGTCCAGGAGCCAAGAACTCAATCTGGATCTCCTACATGGACAGCCAGAACCCAAGTACTTGAACCTGAACCTGCTGCCTCCCAGGGTGCACATTAGCAGGAAGCTGGACTCAGGAGTGGAGGGAGAATTAGAAGCCAGGCTTTGATATGGGATGGGGCATCCCAAGCAGCGTCCTAGCCACCATGCCAACACCCACCTCAACTGCCTATGAATTTCAGTTGGGACACAAGCCTTCAATCTTTTAGTAAGGTCCTTGTATGAGTATATCTTTCAGGAAACAAGAGAAAAAGAATTGGGAAATTTCTGGATCTTTTAGTTAAGCTTCATAAATGTCATAAGGAAGCCACCTGTACTTTTCATATCAACTTTCAGCTCTGTGTCATTTTGCTTGCTCAGCTCTTTATGAATGCCAATGAAAAGCTACAAGATCTCTTCTCCAATAGAAGAAATAAGAAGACAGGACAGCTAAGGCATGGTGGGACACCTCTACTATGGGGTAAGTTCCAGGAAAGCTCTGGAAACCAGATTGATTTGTCTATCTGGCCAGGGAAATTTCTGCAACTCAGGGTTGTTCCTGGGTGCAAAATGGTTTCAGTTCTCTGAGCCCATTGAGATGCAGCAGGGGTGAGGAGCGAGGAGAGGGGCCCCAGGCTCTGCTGCTGCTGGCTTGCCAGTGGCAGTTCCAAGGGTGCTGAGTAAGTTCCTTCAAAGAGCTGGGTAGCTGGGAAAGGCTTGAGGTTCTTTTTTTTTTTTAACTTTTTCCATTTTTTTAATTATATTTTTGGCAATCTACATAGTTAATTATGGTAAAAAAAAAAGGTTCAAGGGCTACAGGAAGGTGGTTAAGACTATTATTTCCATATTGTTTCCTTTATGTATCTGAGGTAAAGGGGTTTTAAGGGAGAAGCCCAACCCAATTTCCCACCCACCTCAGGTCCCAAATGTGGGCCATGCTCCAAAGGTCTTGCTCAAGTGGTTTTGATAGTTCAACAGTTAAGAATTGCTGCCAATCTCACCATTCCAAGCATGAAGAAATCGCTGCAGAATCCACTGGTTGACATAGTCCATCTTAGAGTCTCTGTTTGCCCTGTTTTTCATTGCCCACATATGGCGATGTGGTTGATTGATTTGTTCTGTTCTCTGTCTTTTCATGGTTAGAGTTCTGAGTCCGACAGTTCGACTGGGGAGATCCCAAAAGTAACTTTGTCTGAGGTGTTCCCAGACCAGATTAACCTGATGAGCTGCAGCACCAGCCCCAAGCCCAGGTACTAAATGATCTTGGGAGAGCTGGGCCCAGAGGAGTTTCCATGAACCCTCTGTATTGGTTTCCTGTGGCTGCTGTCACAAATCTCAATAAAATAGCTAAAATCACAGAAATTCATTTGTCACTGTTCTGAGGACCAGAAGTAGCAAAGCAAGATGTTGCGGGGGAGGGGAGCTCAGTATCCTTGGGTCTGCAGTCTCCCCAGGGCTTCCTCCAGCTTCTGCCACTCCTGGTATTGCTGGCCTCAGGGCTCTTTCTGCAACCTCTGCATCACTTCCATGGCCTTCTCCTTTGTGATTCTGTTAAACATCCCCCTGCCTTCTTCTCACGGGCCCACCTGTCATTAGATTCAGGGGCCATCTTCCTTCTGATCTTGGATCTTATGATCCTTAACCTTGGGGTGGGTGTTTGGCGAAGCAATCAAGATGGCCCTTGGGATGGGAGCCTGGATTTGAGTCCTGGCTCCACTTTCAATTTCAGCTTCCTGCTGATGCACATCCCGGGAGGCAGCAGGTCATGGCTTGAATATTTGGGTTCCTGCCACTAGTCACCTCCAGATGGGAGACTTGAATTGAGTTCCAAGCCCCTAACTTAAAACCATCCCAGATTTAGCTGTTGTAGGCATTTGAAAGAGTAAACCAATAAATGGAAGACCAATCTCCCTAACTCTGTTTGTTTCTCTTTCAAATAAAGGAAAATAAATACATAAAAATAAATAACACTGAACTTCTTCCAAATAGCAATTAATAATCATTAACTTTATCCTTGAAAAGATCCTTTCTCTAAATATAATAATATTCACATTTTCTGGAGATTGAGTCATAGGTAGGAGACAGATATATCTTTTGGGGGACTGCTATCCAACTCATTACATCATCAATATTAAGCTATTTGACAAAATTCACATAATTTATCTATCTATCTATATCTATCTATCTATCTATCTATCTATCTATCTATCTATCTATCTATCCATTTACTGTTCCCCTGACTTTAGGTTTTATAACCCCAAGACTGTAGCCTTTCAGCCATGCCAAAGTTAATGTCATCATTTAACGTGTATTCCCTTTTCCTTCCAGAACCTGCATCAAGATACTCTGAAGAACAGCAACCACCTTTAGGAATGTCTAATGTTACAAAATGACTGAAAATATTTCAAGCATCTTCCATTTTGCCATCATTATCATACTAATTGTGGTCAGAATTCAGTTATCTGATGGAAATGAATTTTTTGTTAACAGGTCAAAAACAGGCCTGTTCCATTTCCCCAAAGACCTATCCCTGAAAACCACAGTCATAGATATATCGCAAAACTCTCTATCTGAGCTTCAGATATCGGATGTCCTGTCACTTACAAAGCTGAGGATTTTGATCATCTCTCATAACAGAATCCAGTATCTTGATTTTAGTGTTTTCAAATACAACCAGGAGCTGGAACACTTGGATATATCCCACAATGAGCTGTGGAAGATTTCTTGCTACCCAACTGTGAACTTCCAGTACTTAGACCTCTCATTTAATGCATTTCATGCTCTGCCCATATGCAAAGAATTTGGCAACATGTCTCAGCTAAAATTTCTGGGCTTGAGTGCAACACGGTTACAAAAATCTAGTGTGCAGCCAATTGCTAATTTGAACATCAGTAAGGTTTTGCTGGTCTTGGGAGACCTATATGAGGAAGAAGAGCCCGAGGTGCTTCGAGATCTTCACACAGAGAGTCTGCATATTGTTTTTCCCCCCGGAATGGAATTTTGCTTTGCTTTGGATGTGTCAGTCAGCACGGCAGTGAGTTTAGAACTGTCTAACATCAACTGTGGGCCAGATGACAATAGATATTCCAATTTCCCAAACGTTTTGTCAAAACTTCAAAAGAATCCAAGATTATCAAATTTCACCTTAAACAACATTGAAATGACTTGGACATCTTTCATAAGGATCCTGCAGTTGGTTTGGCCTTCAAACATACAATACTTCTCCATTTCAAATGTGAAACTATGGAGTAAACCGAGTTGTGAAGAATTTAACTATTCCAACACTTCCATAAAGACCTTGTCCATACACCAACTTGTTAGTTATGTGTTCAGTCTTCGACAAGATTGCATCTACAAAATACTGTCAAATATGAATATCCAAAATCTCTCAGTGTCTGGTACACATATGATCCACATGCTCTGTCCACTCCAAATGAGCCCATTTTTGCACTTGGATTTTTCCAACAATCTCTTGACAGACACGATTTTTGAAGACTGTGGAAGCTTAACTGAATTAAAGACATTTAACTTACAGAAGAATCAATTAAAAGAATTTGCAAGTTTAATTCATATGACCAAAAAGATGAATTCTCTACAACAATTGGATGTTAGCCAAAATTTACTAACAAATAATGAACATGAAGGAGATTGCTCTTGGACTGAAAGTTTATTAACTTTAAATATGTCTTCTAATGCACTTACTGACTCTGTTTTCAGATGTTTGCCCCTCAAGGTCAAGGTACTTGATCTGCACAATAACCGATTAACAACCATTCCCAAAGACATCACCCACCTGGAAGCTTTGCAAGAGCTCAACGTGGCTTTCAACTCCTTGGTGGATCTTCCTGGATGTGGCACCTTCAGCAGTCTCTCTGTGCTGATCATCGAACATAATTCAGTGTCCCACCCATCCGCTCAGTTCTTCCAGAGCTGCCAGCAGATTACATCCATCAAAGCAGGAAGCAATCCATTCCTCTGTACATGCGAGCTCAGAGACTTCATCAAAAGCCTAGGCCAGCTGTCGAGTGAGGTGGTAGAGGGCTGGCCTGATTCATACAAGTGTGCCTACCCGGAAAGTTATAAAGGAATCCTACTCAGGGACTTCCAACTGCCTCAATTATCCTGCAACCTGGCGCTGCTTTTGGCAACCATTGGGGCCACCTTACTATTGGTGGTTGCTTCTGTAACTTTCTTCTGCATTCGTTTGGATGTGCCCTGGTATCTGAGGATGGTGTGTCAATGGACCCAGGCCAGGTACAGAGCAAGGCACATCCCGTTAGAGGAGCTCCAAAGAACTCTCGAGTTCCATGCTTTTATTTCATACAGTGGGCATGATTCTGCCTGGGTGAAGAGTGAGTTAGTACCCAACCTAGAAAAGGCAGGTCTCCAACTTTGTCTTCATGAGAGAAACTTTGTTCCCGGCAAGAGCATTGTGGAGAACATCATAGACTGCATTGAGAAGAGTTACAAGTCCATCTTTGTTTTGTCTCCCCACTTTGTCCAGAGTGAGTGGTGCCATTACGAACTCTACTTTGCCCACCACAATCTCTTCCATGAAGGAGCCAATAACTTAATTCTGATCTTGCTGGAACCCATCCCACAGTACTCCATACCTAACAGCTATCACAAGCTCAAAAGTCTCATGGCACGAAGGACCTACTTGGAATGGCCAAAGGAGAAGACGAAACATGTTCTTTTCTGGGCAAACCTGAGAGCAGTTATAAATGTTAAGTTGACTGAGCAAACAAAAGAAACAGATCAATAGACTCACACACAAAATTAAGAATAATTACTCTTATCGGCATTGCTGCTTCTGAGATTTCCACCCATGCCTTCGTTTTGTATCAAGGCATAGGCCAGCACGATTTGGAGTTTACAATGCAGATAAGAACATGGTGATAAAAGTTCATGACATGATATCATTGCGACCTAAATAGTTCATTGCCAACTTAGGGAACATCCACCTGTTTCTTTGCTATCACAAAGTTCATTTGACTTACCATGAAATCAAGAATTTCCTGTGTCTGTCTTCAGTGATGTAACCCTGGATGCTGGGGTCCATCTTAGAAACTCCATGATTTTCGTGCTGGTAGCTGATCTGTTGCATATTTCTAATGCAGTTGGTGCTATCTTGTTACACTTGGTCTTTGCCTCTACACACTGAAGGCTGATCATTGCTACCACTAGAGAGATTCAATGTCCAAAGCGTTTTCTTGCTGACCATGGGGGCCAGAAAATGACAGCTGTCCTTGGGAATGATCTTCAAAGCTGTATCAGAAAGAGAACTGAATTAACACCCCAATGTTGTCACCCACTTTTAAGATTAATCTGGAGTATACTTTTTCATTGCTACTGAGTTCCCTAATAGGACATAATTTTGGTTGTCTACAGTAGAAATGCCTTGATAAATTACTATTTCTTTTCTGCTTTCCTATTTTTTTTCTCCTTCACTCATTCTTCCTCAGGTATTTCTAGGATCTTCTTAAAAATAAAATAGTTGCACTTGATAACTTGTCTACGGTCTGCCTGTGGAGAATTCTGACCAGGTGTGTGTTCCACCTGAGTTCAAGGGGAAATTCTGAGTTCAGTTTTCCGTAGCTGGAGAGCTTGCTGACACCCCAGGTGTATGACTGGACATGACAAGAATCTTTGCTCTTTCACATCACGTTTTTCCCCCCACAATTCAGTTCCCTTCTTGCTGGGATGTTCTATAGTAAAAGTCAATATTAATAAAATGAAAAGTTGAGAATATGAAATTACATGTATGATATGGGTTCAGCTATGTGCATGTGTGTGTTTATATGTATATATGTATACATGTGTGTACACACACACACATATATACATACACTCACACATATATATGAAAAGTAAGCAAAAGAAAGCGTTACGACTGCTTGCCTGAGGGTGCTGCTTGCTTTGGTTTTTATTCTCCTGTGTACTTGAAAAATTTACAACCAACATATTGAAGGTGGATCAGTGGAGAAGAAAGGTGATAAAGCAGGGCTTTGGGATTCAACCCTAACTACATTTCTCTGTAGCTCAGGGCCCTGGGATGAATGCCTGAATATTTCTCAGCCTTCTTTTCCTGACCTGTCAAATGGGCATCACAGTGGCACTTCTCTCATAAGATGTAAGCAACTTGGGTATAATGGGCATAGTGGGTTTAGCTCAGGAGTAACCCACAGCCATGGTGCCTCTCAGCCTGGATTCTGCCTCTTCCTCCTCGTCTTGACCTTTGTAGCTCCATACTTCCCTGCTTTATTATTCAGGATGTCAAGGCAGAATAATAACACCGACCTCATCCTGTGCTAACAGAATTGGGTGAGGTCATACATGCAATATGCATAGAACTGAGCTGGCACAAAATGTTATTGATTGATTGATTGATTTTTAAGATTTAGTTTTTGTTTGAAAGGTAGAGTGTCACATGAGAGGAGCAATAAAGAGAGGTCTTCCATCTCCTAGAACATTCTCCAAATACCTACAGCCGCAGGACCTAGTCAGGCCAAAACCAGGAGCCAGGAACTCCACCTGGGTCTCTTTGGTGAGTGGTAGGAATCTAAGCACTTGAACCATCATCTGCTGCTTTCCAGATGGACTGGCACGAAGATGGATCAGCAGCAGAGTGGCTGGGACTTGACTGACACACTCCTGTGCAATGTGAGCATTCCAAGCCATGGCTTCACCTGCTCCTACCCTGATCATCTTACACCAACAGGTGTGGAACTGCAGCTGAGTCATTGACCATGTCCACTCTAGACTGGTCTGAGCTTTTTAAGAAGGTCTTTTTTTTTTCCTTAGGATAGAGGCAAAATTTAGCTACATAAAATTTTGTGAAAACAAACAAGCAAAGGAACAAACAAATAGAACAACTAAAAATGGCAAACCAGTGGGAGCTGCAACCTAGTCGGAGCAACCTGCAATAACCCCCACCAATCCTGCTCCCTGCAGATTTCTGTGCTTGCCCGTATGTATAGTAGACTGGTCCGGTTTGCCCCACATCCCATCTAGCTTTCATACATGTCAATAGGCATTGAAGCCTAGTTCAATCCAACCAGCCCCACTATCCAGCCCACACACATGTTGGTGGGTGCTACTCTGTGTCTAGCCATGCCTGCCCCAGTCCTGGTTCTCATATTCATCAGTGGGAATGGTAACTCAAGAGGGAAGTATCTACTATTTCTCTACTGGGTCCACTCACACTCCTGGATCTTTTATTCTCCAGGTGGTTCTACAGTTTAACTTGACAGAATTAGCCCCCAGTGCCAGCATCTGCCAGCTGATGCTGGGGCAAAGCCCAACTAACTCACACCTACTCTGGCTTACACATGCAACAGTAGGAACAGTCAATCCAACCTGACTTTTCCCTGATCCAGCCCATATGAAGCCAACATGTGTTGTAGCCATGCCCACTCTTGTCTGCCCCTGTTCCAATTTACACTCTCCAGGGGGAGTGGTAGTCCAGCATGGGAGCCCCACATAGTTTCCCTATTGGATTTGCCCCCTCCCCCTCTGGGTCCCACATGTACTGGTTGGGTGATATGGCTTGGCATGGCCTGCCTCACCTCAGCATCTGTCAGTGGGTGCTGTCGCCTGGCTGGGCCCAGCCCACTCTGAATTCCAGCTCATTCCAGCTCATGGGACTACAGCCTACCCCAGCACAGCTGGCCCCCAGTCCTGGCCCTCACGTGAACTGGCATGTGTTGAGACTGAACCTGGCCCAACACACTCCATTCTGGTGCTCGGAATCACCAGCTGGTGATGTGAACTGGCCCAGCCTGGTTTGCCCCCAACCTGCACAAAATGTATGCCAGTGGGTACCATTTCCTGGCCATAGTCTGAGCTCCTCCCTATCATGGTTCTTGTACTTACTTGCAGGGACTGTGTCCTGACAGAGGAGTTTCCCAAGCTCCTCCATCAGAATCTCTCCCAATACCAGATTTCATGCCCATCAGTGGGTCCATGGGCCAACCCTACATAGTCCACCTCCTGTCCTAGTAGAAACAGAAATCCTTACATGATCGGCCTTCAACCCATTTTGTTTTTTATTGTTGGGTGTTACAGCCCAACCAAGCCTGGTCCACACCTAGACACAGTTCACAACTGGCTCAGCAGGGGCAAAGACCTAGCTTATCCTGTCCTACACCTACCATGGTTCTCATGAGCACCAGTGAGTGCTGGAGTCTAGCCCAGTTCAGTACACCCAGACCCAGTCCACACTTATGCCAACGGAGACCGCAGCCATATCCAGACCAGAACACAGCCCCCACTCTGGCCTTTGCACTCACCAGTGGAAACCACAACCCAGCCAGGGTGTCCTCTTAGCTCCCCAACCAAGACTCTACCCAGACAGATCTTGTGCATCCAGTGGCTGCTCTGACCCAGCTTGGCATAGTCCCTCACTTGTCATGACCTTTGCCTTTGGATGCTATAGCCTGGCCTGACCCAGCCCCCAATTCTGTTGGCTGGCGCTGCAACCTGGCCCTGCTCAGTTTGCTCCCATCCCTGGTTTGTGCAAACCAGTCTAGCCTGGCATGACCTCCACTCCAGCCTGGTTTCTGCACTTTCTTGCTGGTGAGCTAAGGTTTGCTCAACCTTGCCCAGTCTGCCCCCTTCCAAAACCAATCCGCACATTAGCCAATGGTTAGAGTTACCTTGTCCAGCTTACCCTACACCCAGGCCTGGACAATATGCTCACCAGCAGTAGGGAAGTTTCCCATGTTCTCCCACTAGGACTACTCCCAAGCCCAGATCTGATGCATGCCAGTGGGTGTCAGGCCCTTGCCTGGCATAGCCTGCCCCTCCATCTTGGCCTTGTATGAGCTGGTGAATATTATGGCCTGGCCTACCCCACACCCTGTTTTAGAATGCACATGTGGGTGCTGCAGCCTGGATCTGCCAAGACTATTCTCAATGATAGCAGGTTCCCTGGTCACACCTATCTCAGCCCATCACCACCCCAACTCGAGCTAACCAGTGGGATTTGCATTTCCATAGGGTTGTGCCCACATATCCTCCACAGAAACTCCCCCCTGGACCTAGTTCTTTCATGTGCTGGTTAGGGTTATGACCTTGCCTAATGTGACCTGTCTCTATTCCGACATTCAGTCAGGTACTGGGATCTAGCCGTACTAGACAGGTTCCCAACCCTAGCTTTTGCATGGACCACCTGGCGTGTGGTGATTGGCAATGTTCCATGCTAACAAGCCCTATTCAGGACTCCAATGTGGGCTGTAGTATCAGTCTGACCCATACAGATCTTCCAGATCTCTCCCCTCCAAACCACCAGGTCAGTGCCCACACTTACCTGCAAGTATAGTGGCCCTGTAGTTGGCAGTCTTTCAAGATTAATTCTTCACCTACATGCGCAGTGGCGTTATCCATGGTTGTCCCTAGGTAATAATTCCTTACCCGCAAAATTCCAGAGCTCGCCTCCAGGCAGCCAGTGGGCAGAGCCTGACACTGATTGGTACTCTGGCTGCCGGCAGGCCCAGATGGCAGTGGTGGGCAGAGCTAGGGACCAACCCAAGCTCCCAAGAGATCCCTTCACAGTGTACTTACCATGAAGAAAGAAAAAACTCTTGGGCCTAGGCAAGCCCTGGACTCACTCACTGCTTGATAGCGGTGGCTGGGGTTAGGGCCCCAAGCATTGAGTCCTACCTGGCTCAGGTACACCCAGCCGCCACCATGCTGCAGGGAGCTCCCTCCACCCAAGCCCCAAGGTCGAACTCCACAACAACAAAATCTTAAAACAAAAATCACAAACTGACACTTTGCATTTGTCTAGAATACTACCAAACTATATCAGTTTAGAGTGTTTGCAAGTGTCATGGTGTAAATACTTCCACCACAGTAAATTTCTGGGTACAAATGTGATGTCTCAGCAGGTAAAATTGGAATCAGAAGTGCAGTAATAGTCTATATATGTTTCCATCACAGCTATAACAGACATCAATAACCCCAAGAGCTTCATAGTAGTAAGTAGTAAAATAATTAGAAAGTGATGAGTTCTGAGTACCCAAAATCTTTATTTTAAATATATATGTGTATATATATATACACACACACATAAATGTATTTGATTTTTAATACTGATTGCTTTTGAACAACAGGCTAGTAAAAATTCTTATCAATTGTCCAGTAAGCTGGCTTTGGCAAGATATGATATATTGAAAAACGTCTTGGCATGCATCACTCAGGGTACCAATTTTTAACAATTATTCAGAACAAGGAGGTGTGGCATGGATGTAAACAAGGGAATCTGGAGGAATTTCTCCTGCTGAGTTGTCTTGTGGGATGTTTTTTGAGGTCCAAGCTCTATAAGCTCCCAAGATCACTGCTAAATCACTTTTTGACGAGATTTGTACCTGTCAGTAATATCTACCTGAAACTCTGTTACTACCTTTTGTGTTTGATATTCTTCATTTTTCTTCCTGTTATTTGCCCTCCAGCCTCATCTTCTCCAGTTGGTTGTTCTCACTCTTTCTTTTTTATTTCTCGTGACTAAGAGTGAAAGCAGCCTCAGGGACCTCCCTCCTCCCACTGTCAATTTTCTGCCTGCCTAACTGCCTGCCTGAGAACCATCCACCCTCTCCAAGGCAAGCCAAGGAATAGGGGCAGGCTTACGGGCTGTCCCATGTCCCATTGGGAGGTGGAGATCTATTCAGTTTCCTCTCTTGAGGCAAGTATTGTTGGGACGTGCTGCTTCGGCCTTGACCAGAAGCCACAACGCAGAGTCAGGGATGCCAGACCAAACAGAAACAGGAACAACAAGAGAGAGAGGCTGAGTACAGAAAAAGAAGCAGATTGAGGAAGAATTGGAGAGGAGTCAAGTCACAGCCAGAGTGGCAAGCGGCCCTGCCCACATTGGAGGGCACAGCAAGATGGCCTGGCCAAAAGGGCAACTGCTGGGCAGCCAGAGGGACCACTGCCCAAGGGGACTGTGAAGCTGGCAGGAGTACCAATGGCTCCCTAACTTCCTGTAAGGCATGAAACAGTCCGGACCGCAAGTAGTGAGCAGCTGTGACTCTGAACACTCCATCCTTGGCGTCTGACTAAGGAGGTGTCCGTAAGGGTTTAGGGTCTCCCAAGCAAAGGTGGAAGGAAGATGCAAAAACCTTTTGACACCAGGACTAGAGAAGACAACTGTGGCCTTGAGGCCAGGCAACCTGAGTTTTGGAGTTTGACTTTATCTCCTGCTGAATGGAGATCTGGGGAAAGTTTGTTGCTCTCGCTTATCTATTAAATGGGAATGAATGTATGTTCTACATGGATGGTGTTGAGGTCCAGCCAACAGCTCGTGGGCCCTTGTGTGCAACACTGCTGCACGTGGGAAACAACACAGGCTTGCATGACACTCATCAGTGACACAGAGCCCAGCTCATTTCCTTCATTCAACTTACTTTTGGCAAATCAATTTAAAAAAAATAAAGAAAACACTGTCATTTACCTACATTATAAAGAATGTACATGTGCTGGTCTCCAGGCAAGGAGAGCTTATGTTTGTGGTCACTAAGCCCCCCTCCCCACGTGGACTCAGATAACGACATTGAACTTTAATGCTGAGTGTTATGTTCTGTGTGCCACCGTTGTAAATGAGGTGCTCTAAAATGTCACTTTATGTTACATGCAATGCCACTAGCATGCAGTAGAGGGGGAAGAGACTTAAGCGTCACCGAAAACTTGATTCCATCCACTCCTGCAGCCACTTCTGACCCTGCCAACGAATCCTCCACACACCTGCAGCTCTGCTGAAATCGGCAAGGCCTGGGTAAGACGAGTTGACTTTGCTTGCTGTCATGCTCAAGGAAGATCTGAGGGTGGCTTGGGTCTTTTCTGAAGAGGAGAGAACTTGGGCTAATATAGATGGAAGAAACATAAAGATTCAGATCTGCAACGTTCATTATTTTGCCTGCACATGAATAACTGGCAACCTTGGGATGATCTATCTGAGGAATTGTTTCACAGGTGCCCAAGGGTTTGGCTTTCCTTTGACTGGGTGCAGATTAAACCTGGCCAGTGCCCCCATCCAAAGAGGGTAGCCCCAGGCACAGTGAATTTTCTCTGGCTTTTGTTTGCCTATTATATCTATTAACAATATGAGCATAAAAGATAGTTGCCCATGACATATGAATATAAAAATGTTTGTGCATAATTAATACATAAATAACAGATTAATGTCAACTGTTGGGTGAGATGTTGGCTGTCTGAAGGGTGCTTGATGGCTGTTTTACCGAGTTCGAAGTTCAGCTTTGCTCTGTGTAGCTAAGATCAGAGACAGCCCTGATGGATCCTGTGCAATACAATTGTGGCTCAGTTTTCTGCTCAGAAGTCCAGAGTGGTCAAAACCAGCCAAATAGTTGGCATGTAGAGATTGGTTCTTGGCGTCCAGATACTGGATTCCTACAAGCACTTGCTCACGGACCCACACTGAACTGTTGACTTGGGTTGTGCGCACTTTGAGTTAGTTTCAATTCCCATGACCTCATAATAATTCTTGTCATATTATGTTTACACATTAGCAACATCTCTCTTAGCTCTGTGGCACCTTGCAGAATGCCCTGTAGCAGGTGCACAACACTTTGGAGACAGAAACATGGGAGGGAAGAGAGAGAGGCCCCGGGGCAGCTGGCCAGGCCAACGGACTCAACATGGCCATCACACATCACACTGCATGTCAGGCCTGGACATGGCCTCAGTAGATTTAGCGATCAGCCGTAAGGCAGCAGACAGCACACAGATCTGGGCCTAAAACTTACTTAATCTCTGGGCTTTAGGTCCCCCGATTGTAAAATAAGAATAATTAAAGCAATCATTTTGTTGGATTTCGGGGAGAATTGAATAAGACAATGAACAGAATGCACTTAGTTCCAAATTGGACTTGTGGGAAACACTCAAAAATGTCACTCTTACTCTGATGTTGCAAAGATCACTCACCATTCAGGGAGATGTTGACTTTTTTTGTGTCAGAGGGAAAAGAGCACTTGGATGATGAAGTATGTATTCTTTGGCAAATCACCAGTTGCCATTTGATGGTGTTTTGACTTAGATTTTTCAATCATGAGCTATTCAGGAAAGCCATTCTCTGGGTTTTATCTGCTTTGAGTGGTTGTAATAGAAGTAAAAATGTAAATACTATACACTATTTAATGACTATATCATTCATCAACAATTGATGTCCTGTTTAAAATGTTTTAATGAAATGCTGTAAAGCATATCCCTCACCTGAAATATAGGACTTTTAAAAACTTATTAAGAGAAGTTCAAAAAGAGTTAGTTCCTCTCTCACTGGTTTCAGTTAAGGTTGTGGTATTGGGTAGGTGGGTAAGAGATGGAAATTCTGACGTCTCAACCCAGGGGACTGCCCTCAGATGCTGTGGCACTTTCAAGCATAAAGTGGCTGTAAATCAAAGTGCTCTGTGGCTGGTTAACAGCCTTGTCAACCTAATGACTGTAAGCACGAGAGTCCTGCTAAGCCATAGTGAAGTCTGAGGCAAGAAAAAAAATCAGTAATGCCAATCTCATCTATAATATCTTGGTTCAAGACAGATTTTGCAATAATTCTGATTTTTGGAAAATGTCTCATTGACAAATTATTTATTTTGATGACTGAGTTCCTTGGTGTCCCCTTAAAATTCGTGTTGTCATTGCCTCCTACTGGCCTAAACCCTAAGACTGCTCCTTTATTAAGTCTGACGTCTTAGACGTGGCACTGTGTGTTTGATGCCCATGTTCTATAGTATGGTTCTACACAGGCAATTTTTACAGATGAGGAAAAGGGGATTTTTAGAGATGGGATAAATTACTCAAGTTGCATAGCCCATGAGTGGTTAACACTGGACTTGAACTTAAGTCTACTGATCACCAACACCAAACTCATCTTTTTAAGTATCATACCCTGTACCATATTATATATTCACTCACATCAGTCACTCAGCACATTTTTGGAGAGCATATTAAGTGTATCTTGTTCTAGAGTCCAAAATGTTGACATCATTCATTCATTCCCATATACACTCAACAGGAATATACTTTCTTATGTCAGCCACTAGTCCACTGGCAGAGGATATGGATAGGAACAAGACAGATGGCTTTCATGGCATGAGGTGTGGAGGAGATGGTAAGCCCATAAACAGAAGATCAACTATGAATAAGTCATTCAGAAGAAGTAGTAAACTCATGAGAAGTTACTTTCCATATCTAATAGAACGAATGTTGAGATTTCCTAAAACTGAATGTGTAGCTTTAAGGAAATGGGAAGAAAATATTTACAGTTACATATTAGCTGATATGACACAATAACAGGAGCAATAAATATTCCTCAAAGCAACAGCTGTAAACCGGTTTTTTTTTAACTAGGAATATTTAGAAGTAAGTGTCAAAAGCCATTCATCAATATATAACAATTTGGAAATCCATGGGGAACTAAAGTAAGTAGAACATTCAGTTGTTGTTTTATAGTGTTTTACATTTACCAAATATTTTTAGTCTATTCATCACTCCAAGAAGTCACTAAAATTAGGGCCAGAAATACATTACTGAAAGTATCTGAAATTGTTGGAAGTCCTGTTTTTCAAACTTGATTTCTTTTTAGGAAATCACGTAATTGTGCAAACTTCACTAAAATTAATTTTCTCTTTTTTCTAAGATGTCTGGACTTATCAGAATATTGGTTTATGGAAGATAAGGATTATATCATCCTTTAATATTTAACACTTACTATTTTTTAAAATAGGGATTCTCCGGTATACAGTGTAAGGGAATTCACACAACACCCTATCAGGACATTTGTTTGCACGCATGATTGGTATTAATAGCAACATAAAAACTTAGGCACCCTCTCTGGGTCTGTCTCCTTCCCTCACCTCTCTCAGCCTCACCCTTCCTGTCACAATACAAGAAGGCTACTGTCTGCAAATCCAGACATGAGCCCTCACCAGAACTGAGTCAGCTCCCCAAGGCTGGACTTGCTAGCACCCAGTGCTGGGAAAAGTACATGCTTGTGGTCTAACTCAGTCCATGGTGGGTTGTTAAGCAAAGTGAACTGAGACAAGGTATTTGGGGGAAATGGCCAAGTGTTTTCTCAAATTTCTTCACTTCAAGAAAAAAAAAAAAAGAATCAAACACATTTGATAGGTTCTAGAGAAAAGGAACCCAGGTGCAAGTGAGGAAGGTACTCTACTTGGCCTTGTTTTAAGTCTGCCAGTTTGGCTAACCCTGGTACCTGCATGCCTGTCTCTCTCTCTCTCTCTCTCACACACACACACACACACACACACACACACTCTGTCTCTCAGAACTCTGCGCTGCCCAGTGTGTCTTAGGCTGTCCCTATGTGTCCATGGCAGAGACTCTAAGGGGATCAAGAGCCTGTGTATTGCCACAGACAAACAAAAAAACTCAAGCACTAATTTAGCACTCATCTTTCTTTGGTGCTATCAAAGTTTCTGGTGTGGGAAGAGAGCTGAAGAGTTTACTCATTTGATGTCAGATCTACCCACTACCTCGTGGATGCCACTACCTCCTGACAACCTTCTTCCTTGCTGCTGTTACCCTAGCGTCTCTGTTGGTCTTGTGCCCTTCTAGTCATTTCCTCCCAAGAAACTGAGGTGTCTATAAAATATGCCCTAGAACTTAATTCTCCTGTGTGCTAGATCAGCCACTGCTTTCTTCCTGTTACTCACAGGAAATTCACGAAGTTCTTCCAAAGTCTGACTTTGCCTGTGATCACTCTCCCGTAGTCCAAGCATAGGCTCTTTGAACTTGTAATTGCTGTTCTCTCCCCCAAAAGATGCTTCCATTCAGCAAGCACTTTGCTCCCAGGTTCCCTGTAGCAGCTCTCCTCATGCAGGTCATGGCATCACAGAGGTCTTTCTCAATCATCCTATACACACTAACCAATCACTCTCCACGATCTCTCTGCTCCTCTTTCTCCAGTTATCTCGAGTTCTTAATCATCACTTGGCCTCTAACTTTTATAACTCTGTTCATGGCCCTTGTTCTTACCCTTGCCTCTAAAAGTTGAGCTGTGCAAGAATAAAAATTCTCTCCTGATAACTACTGTGTCTCCAGCACCTAGCTTTGTGCTGTATCAAAAGGAGATGTTAGAGAAAATGCTGAATCTGATCAGAAAGCATAGTTTCTAAACTGGTTTTGGAGTGAGGCACTTCTCCCATCCATTTCAAGAAGTTACTTTAAGAACTTTGTGAAAATGGGGCCCAGCACGATGGCGCAGTGGTTAAGGTCCTTGCCTTGCACGCCCAGGATCCCATATGGGTGCCGGTTCTAATCCCGGCGGCCCCACTTCCCATCCAGCTCCCTGCCTGTGGCCCAGGAAAGCAGTCGAGGACGGCCCAAAGCTTTGGGACCCTGCACCCGTGTGGGAGACCAGGAAGAGGCTCCTGGCTTCGGATTGGCATAGCATCAGCAGTTGCGCTCACTTGGGGAGTGAATCATGGGATGGAAGATCTTCCTCTCTGTCTCTCCTCTCTGTATATCCACCCTTCCAATAAAAATAAAACAAATCTTAAAAAAAAAAAAAGAAGTTTGAGAAAATGAAAGATTTATTCTGATTCAAGATATTTTGCAATCCATGAATAATTTCTTCATAATACTTTTGTCATGGCCCCTGATCCTGTCTGTGCAAATGCTGACTTGCCTCAGCAATGGGAACAGGGCTCTGTCCTCTTGGACTAAGTCAAAGATCTGACATAGGTTGGGACTGCTTTCCAATGTCTTGGTTAATCCTCACTTAGTCAGAGGTTGGAATGGAAAAAAAATTTAAATCCTACAGGATTTAATTTAACAAATGAAAAATGTAACATTATGTGCTTTTTCCCCCCTAAAGATTTGAATTCATCTTCATCATTCATTTGAGAAAACCATTGGAAATACAATGAGACTTCTCAGAAGCATTTGCCTGCTTTGTATTAATGTGATGGCAGTAGAGGGCTGGGCTCCAACCCTGCCAGAAGGAAGGGAATTGACAACCAACTTGTCCAACATGTCTCTAAGAAGGGTTCCCGCAAACCTAACCCCCACCTCTACCATACTGGATTTATCCTACAACCTACTGTTTGAACTCCAGAATTCAGACTTTCATACTGTCTCCAAACTCAGAGATTTGATTCTGTGCCATAACAGCATCCAGCGGCTGGATCTCAAGATCTTTGATTTCAACAAAGAGTTAAGATATTTAGATGTGTCTTACAACAGACTGAAGGTCGTAACTTGGTACTCACTGGCCAGTCTCAGACATTTAGATCTCTCCTTCAATGACTTCGACACCATGCCCGTCTGTGAAGTGACTGGTAATATGTCACACTTGGAAACCCTAGGCCTGAGCGGAGCCAAAATACAAAAATCAGATTTTCAGAAAATTTCTCACTTGCATCTCAATACTGTCTTCTTAGGATTGAAAGCTCTTTCTCATTATGAAGAAGGCAGCCTGCCTATCTTAAACACAACAAAACTTCATATTTTTCTGCCAACGAACGTAAATTTTTGGGTGCTCTTGTATGATGGACTTAAGACTTCAAAAATACTGGAAATGACAAATATAGATGGCCTAAGTCAATTTTTAAATGATAAGCCTCAACACAGTTTCATTTTGGAGAAGTCTAAGACATCTATTCTGTTGTTTAATAAAGTTAGTTTGCTCTGGAATGACCTCTTCCATATCTTGCATTTTATTTGGCATACCCTGGTGGAATACTTCCAGATCAAAAATGTGACATTTGGAGGTAAATTTAATTTTGACTATAATTACTCCAACTATTCAAATACTACCATGAAAGTTATAAAACTGGAGCATGTTCATTTCAGAATTTTTCAGATCCCACAGGAGAGAATCTACTTGTTTTTCACCAAAATGGGTATAGAAAACCTCACAATATCAGACGCCCAAATGCCTCACATTCTTTTTCCTGATTATCCTACCCAATTCCAGTATTTAAATTTTGCCAATAACATCCTAACAGATGACCTGTTTCAAAAACCTACCCAACTGCCTTCCTTGAAAACTCTCATTCTGAAGGGGAACAGACTGGAGACACTTTCCTTAGTGAGTCACTTCGTTAACCTCACACCAGTGATGCACTTGGATCTGAGTCAAAATCTACTACAACATCAAAACAATGCTAACTGCTCATGGCCAGACACCTTGCTTACCATGAACCTGTCATTCAACAAGTTTGCTGACTCTGTTTTCAGATGTCTGCCCAGAACTATTCAAGTCCTGGATCTGAATAATAACAAAATTCAGACTATCCCTAAAGTGATGACCCATTTGCAATCCTTGCGAGAGCTAAACATTGCTTTTAATTTCCTCACAGAGCTCCCTGGGTGCAGCCATTTCAGAAAGCTCTCAATTCTGAACATTGAAATGAACTTACTTTTCAGCCCTTCTCTGAATTTTTTGCAGAGCTGCCAGGAAGTGAAGACTCTAAATGTGGGGAAAAATCCATTCTGGTGTACTTGCGACTTAAGAGATTTCATTCAGTTTGGGAAATATTCGGAGGGCATGGTGGTTGGATGGTCAGATTTGTACATCTGTGAATACCCTTTGAATCTAAAGGGGACTCAGTTAAAGGATGTTTACCTTCCCGAATTCTCTTGCAACACGGCTCTGTTCATTGTCACCTTGGTGATTATTGTGCTACTGCTGGGCATAGCTGTGGCCTTTAGCTGCCTCCGCTTAGACCTGCCCTGGTATCTCAGGACGCTGGGCCAATGGGTGCGAATACGTCTCAGGGCTGCAGAAGCAGCTCAAGAGCCCAAGAGGACTGTCCAGTTTCACGCATTCATTGCGTTTAGTGAACATGATTCTCTCTGGGTAAAGAATGCATTGATTCCAAGTCTAGAGAAAGAAGATGGTTCTGTCTTGATTTGCACTTATGAGAGAAACTTTGACCCTATCAAGAGCAGAACTGAAAATATCCTGAACTGCATTGAGAAAAGCTATAAGTCCATCTTTGTCTTGTCTCCCAACTTTGTCCAACATGAATGGTGCCATTACGAGGAGATCGCCCATCACGAGTTCTTCCACGAAAACTCTGATCATCTCATTTTTATCTTACTGGAAGTTGTCCCATTGTATTGCATTCCCACCAGGTACCATAAGCTGAGAGCTTACATGGAAAAGAAAGCACTCCTGGAGTGGCCCAAGAGCAGGCACAAATGCAGGCTTATTTTGGCAAACCTTCAAGCTATTATTAACGTGAATTTATCGTATACCGGAAAAACGCATGAACTACAGACATTCACAGGGTTGAACCAACAGTCTCGGGGCTCTGCCATATCTCTGATAAGAACAGATTGCCTGTAAAGACCTCACCCTCCAGGGGAAATTGAGGACCATATGCTCACTCACTGCTGAGATGGAAATTGTTCTGACCTTGTAATGGCCACCTGGCAATATGTTAAAATAAAAAACAATTATTGCTTTGATGTCAGTTCCTGGAAGGATTTCTGAAAAGGTACGCTACACAAACACTTGCACAGGTTCGCAAATGATTGTGCCAAAAGATGTTCATCTTGGTTTTGATTATAATCATGAAAAACCAAGACCATTCCAAATATCCATAAAACAGACAATGCAATAAGTTACAGTATACTGGTACAATAGAATATTGCACGCCACTAAAAAGAATGGGGTAGCTGGTGTGGAGAAACTGCTGTTTGTAAAATAATCGACACCAGTACAGTGGTAGAGTTAAGAATGGTTGAAGTCTGGGGCGTTTACATGGAACATGTAATCTGTAGAGTATATATGTTTTCACAATGTGAGAACTGTGTAGAATTAATCTGTGTTTCTTATGTAAGTACAAAATACAATAAAGATTTTTAAATCCTACGGATCCTACTCATTTTGCTTCACTGTTCCCTTCTTGTCTCAGGAGTCATGGGAAGAAAAATAGTACTTCTACATTATATTTCTAAAACAAATGTCATGTCACTTTCCTGGTTAGGGATGAAAGGCTGTGGTTTACCCATAGGATAAAGGAACAAAATGCTACGTCCCTGCAGTTCTAACACCCATCTCTTCAGGACTCTTTGCAGCCTGTCACTGAGTGTGATCAAGCTCTTGGTTCTTTCCAGAATGTTCATTCTTCTTTCAGACCCCTGGACCTTACACCTGGCATTGTGCCCGCCTGCAATACCTTTCCCTCCTTGGTTTGTTCATGGTCCAGATGTCAATTCTTACTGGAAATAATCTTCCTCTAAGTTTGGTGCTCTTCAGTTCTCCCAGACAGGTTGCAGATATTTCTGTCTCCAGATCAATGTACATTTTTGAAATTTCCTCCTAGACGAGAAAACCGTCAAGGCTGAGGACACACTGCCCTGGTACCAGCAATTCCTTCCTCTGTGTGCATGAATGCTTCTGGTATGATGTTCATTTAGCTAAAGGAACTTAGTAGGGACTCAATGGCTCTCAGCATGGAAGATGGAATTTGTATGAAATCTGTACATCTTTTGGTAAAAATAAATACATTTTTAAAAAGTAACAAATTAATTCTGCAAAGCAGGACAGCTTGACAGAGAAGGGAGATGGCCTAACATCTGACCAGAAGGCTGCGTTCCCAGCAGCTGCAGCTGAAGGTGAGGCACGAGGGCTATGGAGCTTGAAGCTGAGCACACCTCCTCCCCTCCCTGCTGAGCCTGTGCTCTGTGTGGCAGAAAGCGAAACCCAAGGAGATTGTAGTGGTGAGGCCCTTTCCTGGGCTGGACCACCATATGTGGGGTGAGCTGGAGTGAGCCATATGCTGTGTGGGGGGCTGTAAATCATGAGTGAGCATCCTCAGCTTGAACACACCTGCCCACCTGGCGTGCAGTGCTACTGGCCCCTTGGCCCTGTACAGCACTCCTTGAGCAGCACGTCAAGGGGGAGGGCCTGCAAGTGCATCCTGGAACACGCAGTGAGCACCTGACTATGCTTCACCAAGCGTTCTCTGCTTGTGCATGGAGATCAACAGCCAGCTGCTGGGACACGCCCTGGGATGCACTCACAGACAAGGGGCCATGAAGCTGCTGGGAGTACCCTGCCTACCAGGGGTCTAGAGAGAAGCACAGCCGAAGGTGGCACTGCTCGGCGTCAGGGTTAATAAGGCAGAGTGGGGGCTCCCAGGCAGTGCCATGCCACACGTCGGTCTCATGTGTGCCTGTGTACAACAGGAAACAATGTCTCCAGCTTATGTCATGGCAGCAATGTCCAAGCTGCTTAAGTAAATAACAGAGCATACACATTCCGATGATTCGAGTGTCTGAAAAGTGTCTAAACCCATTGCCATCGTCCCCAGGACACTGCCATCTTCCCATTGCCTTCTGCATCTTTGCTCTGACATCATTTGCTGAGGGAACATGGTGGCACTCCTTACCACTTTCCTGGCTTTTCATTTGCCGTTAACGTTGGCTGTCTCATGAATTCTATCACACTTCTGTTCCCCTTCTTTATTCTCTTCTTGACCCCTCTGATAAGGACACAAGTACTTCCAGAACTTTGGCCCGTTCAGCTCATACAGGTGTCTTCATCTCTGCCTGTAGCGATGACTAGCACACGGACATTCCCCACATATTCTCGGAACCAAAGAGTTGGCTGGCTGTGTCAGTGCCATTTCCTGTTGCTACAACTCCAGGGTATAGATTCTACTTCTCAGAAGACAATCTTCACCTTCCTTTTGCTGACACTTTCTGGACCCTGCCATCATTGCCCTGTTGTCCCCTACCTCCCATCCCTACACACACACACACACACACACACACACACACACACACACACACACACACAGAATCACTGCCTCTTGTTTTATTGGGAGTTTCCTCAACCTCCTTTGGGCAGCCCTCCACCTCTCTCAGAGTCTGCGGATCACATGACCCCCTCACAGATGAGGCATATGGCTTCCCCACCCTTACCCAACCCATATTCTCATTGTACCAGACTTCCTACAAGAGAAGGGCAATACAGAGTCAACAAAGCCTTGGTCATGGGCCAACACTCATCATTTTGGATGCCCCCACCCCCCAACAACGCTGGAACTCTCTGAGTCCTTCTTAGGACCTGAAACCAGAATACTGGTCCAGACCCAGATTCATCCAGGCCCCTATCTTCAGTTCTGTCCTTCAAGGTGCTTTCTGATCTTTGACCATGGACCTGACCTCAACAAGATAGCTCCCTAAGGAGCTATGGAGTTCACACCTTCGGAGTCCTTTCTGACACTGGTGGTAGGGTCCCCCTTTGATGCAGGTAGCTGTTTGGCAAGCAGACCACCCCTGCTGACCCAAGCTCACCCCAGACTGAGCATCAGAACCATATGGATGTGTCAATTTGAGGATTACTCTCACATTTAACACAAGAGTTCCGGCTGCTCCACTTCGCATCCAGCTCTCTGTGACCTGGGAAAAGAGCCGAGCACAGCCCAAAATCTTGGGAGCCTGAACCCAACCTGGGAGACCCAGAAGACGTTCCTGGCTCCTGACTTCAGATTGGCTCAGCTCTGGCCATTGTGGCCACTGAGGAGTGAACCAAGAGAAGGAAGATATCTTTCTGTCTAAAATGAAAGGTATCTTTCAAGTAAAAATAAATAAATCTTTTTTTAAAAAACTCAAGTACTTTACATAGACATTGTAAAAAAAGCTGATTGCTACACACTCTAGGGGCAGTCTTGAGAAGGAGAATGGGGGGGGCCCGAATAGTTTACGGCAGGCACACATCATCTTTTCATCCCGCTCTTCTGCAAACGTACGGACCCCCTCCCTTACTGCCTTCTTGAGCCAGCACATGTGATGCTTCCTCCTTCTCGGCCGCACATGGCTTGTTCCAGTTTCGGAGTGAGTCACTGGAGGTAGGTCAGTTTCTCTCTCCAGTGCTAATGGGTGATGTGATGAATTCACTGCTGAGATGCACCGTGTGGGATTTGGCAAGTTCTAATGCCAGAAGGTCAAGGGTATTGGAAATTTCTCCTACAGTTTTTATTAAAAATTGAAATGAGATGAGGGGTTATTATTATTATTATTTCAACGATTGTTAGTGGTTAAGCTGCCCCTTGGGATGCTGTCACCTCATACTAGAGTGTCTGGTTTAACTCCCGGCTCCTCTGCTTCTAATGCAGCCTCCCATTAATGCTCACCCCGAGAGGCAGCAATGATGGCTCAGGTATCAGGGTCCCTAACACCCATGGGAGAGAGCCAGATGAGGTCCAGGCTCCTAGGGTCAGCCCGGCCCAGCCCCAGCTGTTACAGGCATTCTGGAAGTGAGCCAGCTGATGAAAAATCTCTTATACTACCTTTCAAATAAAATGAAATTAACTACCCATTTTAAAAACAAAGCATGACATGATTAGGATCTGTTCATCCCATGGAAGAAGTTGAATCCTTAGTGGTACCTGTGGATTTTCTAAGTTTAAGAACTTGAAATGTCTCTCAGGGCAAAGAGCACCATTGGTCTTAGCGGGAAATGAAGCTTCAGAATGACGATGAGAGAACCCAAAAAGGTCAGATTCACTCTAGGAGTCCAACCTTCACTTGCTTCCCGGACTCACCCCTCCAGGGAAATTCTGTGATCCACCAGGTCCTCACCTCCTCCATTTTTGACTCTTTGCTCTCTGGGCAAGAGCTGACCCAATTCCCATGATGCCTCTACTGCTGTCCTGGCCTGGGGCATAACAAGGGCAGGTTCCCAGGTCCCTTGGATGTTACATGTTCCAAAGCCATGCCGAATTGTACCTGCTAAATATCACAGACCTTTAACTGGGTCATTATTCTCATTGAACAGATAGGATATTCAACTATAAAGTTAAGGTTTCCTGCCTGAGAGACAGAGATCTGAGGCATCTGATTACACAATGACTTTGTGGCTGCTCCGTCATGCCGCCTCCCAAATGCCTGAGAACTTCACTCCTGGTTTCTTTCATGTGAGGGATCTTCAGAATGTTTACAGATAATACTTATTAAGAGAAAAACTATGTAGATTTGCCAGTTTCTTTTGCATCAGGACTCAGTGTAATGACAGGTTAAGCCACCACTGCCCCTCTGGCATCCAATCTGGATGCTGGTTGGAGTCCCAGCTGCTCTACTTCCCATCCAGCTACCTGCTAAGGTGCCTGGAAAAGCAGTAGAAGATGGCCCAAGTACACGGGCACCTGCCACCCATGAAAGAGACCTAGATGGAATTCCAGGATCTTGGCTTTGGCTTTCTCAGCCTGGGCTGCTGTGGCCATTTGGGGAAGTGAACCAGCAGATGAAAGTGCATGCACATACTCTCTCAAAGTCTGCCTTTCAAATAAATAAATCTCTTTACATTTTTTTGCATCAAAATAGATCTATTTTTATAAACTCTACTTCTGCACAAACTTTTGATTTATCCTAGTATAAATCATCACTTTGGAAATACCTGTTCCTGCAGAACACTTGTTGCTCCATAGTAGTATCTTGTTGCATAGTAATTCTCACCATCTTTAAAGCACATAAAGCAAGTACCACCAGTCCTTGCTGGCCAAGGCTGTGGAGAAGGCACACACAGCTACTCCAAGTCTTGTTCTCACTGCCCTCTGCTGAAGTAGGGCATCTAGTCAAGGTCCGCCTGCATCCCTGTCAGAGTCCAAGGAGCCACTGAAGTGCTCAACACTACACTGTCAGCTGCAGGCACACCCACTCACAGGTGGTTGCACCTGCTGATTTCCAAGGTCTCTGTGTGTCTCTCACCTTTGACACGGCTGGAACAGGTGCCTTCCAGAGATAATGTCCAAGTGAAGGGCGCTTCCTCCCAATAACCCCCAACACAGGCACCTTGGAGATGAGGAGCCACATTGGGTGCCATGTAGAATAGGTCCAGTGTGTCTCGTCTCCAAACTGTGCAAC